ATAGGTTGTGTGATGAAGTGCATCCTCGCCGGTTCTAGGCATATCGTCAGCCAAAACCATTTCCAACCCCATCAATAACTGCCCTCCCTCCAGGATGCACACAAAAGTGCTCTATTCCTGTCTTGAAATTCAACTCCCCTCCCAACAGATTCACTTTTGTCTTCTTTAACTTGTTCTTGCCAAGAACCAGCCCAGTGAAAAAGGGTATCATTTCCCTTTTCTTCATCCCACTGTACCTTACAGAGACAAAAAGGAACCTTACTATTTCCAACACTGGCAGAATCTTGGGTGCCATCGCTTGAAGGTTCATCGTCAAGGCTTGAGCGGCAATCTTGACAAGACTCTTGCTGAGGCGAAAACCCGAGTACCCCTGCTCATCTTCCACCTGCATGCAGCAGTTGTAAGCCTCATCATCAGCACCGTACTGGGTCCTCTCCATGTGTTTCAGTTTCAATATTGCACGGTCCTTCAGAGAAGGCTTGTTTGTAAACATCAAAGAGCAGCCGCCAGAGCGAAAGAGGCAGTTAGAAAGCATCATTTTCTTGTCCGTTCCACAGTACCAATGTGCACCAAGATCCTCAGTGCTCACAACAATCCCGACAGAGTTCTTGTAAGTCTTGAAGAGTTGCTGCACCACTTCAATAGCGACGACACTTGCACTACACCCCATTCCTGCAAGATTGAAAGCCTTGACGTTTTCTCTCATTTTGTACCTGTTTATGATACGTGCTGCCAGAGAAGGTGCGGAAGAGAACAAGGACACGTTGACTACGAGGATGTCTATCTGGGAGGGTGAAATAGCCGTCTTCTTGAAGAGGTTGTCGAGTGTGTCGAACATGATCTCGTCTATTTCCTCGTACGTCTCTTTAAGAGATGGACACTCTTCTCTCCCTTCAAGAACGGTTCTGGGGCAGTAAGTGTTCTCCCCAATCCCCGAACTGACAATGGTTTTGAGGAGAAACCTCAACTCCTCCAACCTCAGCTTTCTGTTTCGTAGGACAATCTTTGTGGCGGAGTCAGTGTTGAGTTTGGTGTCTTCTGGAGGCATAAAGCACTCGTAGGCCAACATGTAACATGATTGGCCTCTACGTTGAAGAATCAACTTGAAAAGTGAAAAGAAAGAGTATAATAAGAAGGGAAGGAGAAAGAAGAAAAAAAGATTCATCTCTAGCTATAGCAAAGAAGCTAGGGATAAGGGGAGGAGGAGGATATATGTTTGTAATTGTGGATGTTGAAAGTGCAAAGACATGTGTATATATATATACACAGAGAGAGGCAGTTATGTAACGTCGATGTGCAAGTTGAGCGTCACCCAGTTTGACAAGTTGCCTGAGAAAAGGTAAGATGTGCCCTACAGACAACTCTTAACCAGTCGATATTGACTGTGATTAAGTGTCTCTCTCTCTCATTCTCAAAAATAAAATAAAATAAAAATTTTCATCACTTTGAGTAAATATAAATAAGTAAATAAATAATAGTAACACTGTAGAGTGTGAGTTGTGGTGAGTGATCCCTGGTGTTTTCCATTTACTTTTCATTCATGAAATGACGCTGCAAAATTTCTAACCCTTTTTCGGCCAGTTATGATTGATGCTGGATAAACAGGAATCTCGTTGGAGTAGGTCAAAGTTAATAAATACGGTGTGGACCAACCAGCTTGCGAAGAAGAGCGAAACCAGAACTCCATTTGAAAACTTCATCTTCCATGTTTATTTCAGAACTCAACTAACATCCCCAATGGAGTTGAGAAACTTTAATGACTAAGACTCGAATGTAATTTCAGAACTATTAACCGGCTCAACTCAGTCTCCATCACGAGTTGATCACGAGTTGATCACGAGTCAACCCAACCCCACTCAAAAAATATGAATATTGATTGATTAAACGGATTTATTCACTAGGTCTTATAATTAAAAAACAAGCACAAAAGACAAACAAAAATTAATTTTTTTTCAAACTCAATCCGTTTTTTACCCGTGGTAATCTAGGTTGACTCACGGGTTACAACTCATTTTGACAGAAAATGATATATTTTTTTTATAATATTTTGACAAAACACACTTATTATTTTTTTATTAAATTTAAAATACGTAAATAAATAATGAATTAGTAAAAAAAATAATATGTCTACTATATATAATATCTGTCAATATTTTGTTGAGAAATGCTACTATGACACACTTTTATATTTCATTTGACACATGATATAAGGATAAAATGGTCTAAAAAGGATAAAGTTTTATATTTTTTCAAGAAAAAATAGAATAAAAAGTAAATAAAAATAGTATCAAATGAATGTAAAATATTTAGGTGTGTCAAAGAATCATTTTCGTAATTTTTTTTCCATATTTATGATATCTCAATCAACTAGCCCATGCATAGATTAAATAAAGTTCTGCTACCAGTTTACTATATATGTGTGTATTATTAGTACATGGTGTCATTGTACATTTTGTATTCTTTTGCATTCAATTATAATATTTTGAACCAATGGAGTGGCTTAATTAATTTCTTGATTGTTTTCCGTAAATGTTGTTCTCAACTTAAACTTTAACGTCACCAGAGGAGCATGAATCACAGTCTCATGGATCTGGAGTTATTTTATTTAAATGTTTTGTTTTAATTGCTATCATATCAGATGGCATTTGCTTGACATCTTAACTACCAAAAATAATTGAAAAAACAAAGCAGAAGCTATTCGTAAATATCTACAATCCCTTACATAAGATTTTTTTTTTTTTACAATTACTAGTGCAATAAAGCATTAGCCTTAGTCTCATTTAGGGCTTCTATTTCTTTATTTTTTTAAAAAATATGTATTATTAATTTAAATTATTGAATGATAAATTATATTATGATATATTTTATTCACTATTATTTTATTGTAAAATTATTCTTCTGTCTTAACCGTGCATTATACATGTCAATTTGTAATTTTATTTATTCAAAAGACTACTTTGTTGTATATTTTTTATACTTTCACGTTTCTAAAATATCTATTATCATAGAAATAACATCTACCCTCCCCAAGTATGAAATATCCATCTATTCTTATGGAAGTAAAAAAAGAAAAATGTCTTGGACATGAGAATTATGCTCTCAAGAATAAAACATACCCAAAAAGATCATTTTTTTTCTAACAACAAATATATATATATATATATATATATATATATATATATATTAAATCGTCATTAAAACATTCAGAAACAATGACGATTTTATAGAGAATCGTCGTCGAATGTTCAATACTTTCATAAAACAAATATGTGTTTTTTCTCCCGCTAGACTTTTGTTTGAGAGTTTTCTCTTCCTCTTCACTTTTGTTTTCTCTTCCCCTCTCCCTTTTCATTTTCTCTTCCCTTTGCATCTCATAGTCATCGCAACTGTCAATGGTCAACCGCCGCGAGCCTCTACCAAAAGTGAACTGCTCCACGTGAACCTCCTCCAGTCGTGAAGCACTACTGATGTCACTACACGACGCATCTTGCACTAAAACCCATGCGTGAGGCTCCAATATGAAGCTCTTCACACTAAGTTGTGAGGCTCCTCCGCAAAGCTCTCTACAATATGCTGCAAAACCCTCGTGAGTTTCCTCCTCACCTATGATTAGTACTTTTACATTTTTCTCTACGGCTTCACAAACAAGTAAATAATTAACCCATGGAAAACTTATGTGCCTTTTAACACTCAAATGAAAATGTTTTTCTACTCTACACTGGTATGTTTTGATTAATCTCTTCATGATATGCAACACATTATTATTTGTTTCTTTCTTTAAGATGACTTTTAAGAGTGGTTTAAGAACAAGTGTCATCATTTGAGACTTTTAACGACGATTATTTTAATTTTCGCCATTTTTGTTGGACTTCTAACGATGTCAATATCGACTACAATTCAAAAACCATCGTTAGAAGGTTGTTTTAACCATTGTGGAAAGATTAAGATTCTTAAGATTAAACTTTCTTATGGTAAAAAAATCTCCTATTTTTTTATAACAAAAACTACTAGTGAACAATAGATAAAGAACACATAAAACAAAAACATTAAAATTATGCACAACATAACATGTATATAGAATGCACATCAAAAGTTTAAGACATGAAAAATAGTACTTAGACAAAATTGTATAATAGTCCTTCTCTCGTTTCTTTGTCAACAACAAAAAGTTTAAAGGAAAAGAAAACATCACTCGTGATTTTGGCAATGGTTGTGGATGTGAAGGTGATGTGGAGATGGTTCAATCCTCTTGGTGGGTTCTTTTATAGCTCATAGTTATTCAATTATTCTTATACGTGACTTAAATTTTATTGAGTAGGGTAGACAGTATGATATGTGTGTTTAACTTTGACGTTCTGAGGGACTAGCTATGTGAAAATTTGTCTAGTACATTAACAACTCTCCTTTACTCTTTGACCTAAAATACACTCACACTCTCCAAAGCAAGAATTTAACCTAAATCTTAGAACACTATACTACAAGAGTATAAGAAAAAGTAAAATACAAGCTTAAAGAATCTTTAACTTGAGGTGTCTAGAACCATGAATTTAGAGTTTATTATATAACCACAACACTTTGTGTCACCCCATTTGGTACCGATCAGAGTAGTCGTTGTGCGATGCAACATAAGGGTTTGATCTTCCCTTTCTTCTGCTATTTTTTATTTCCCATTTTCGATGAATTGTTATTTGGTTTTTTTT